CCCCTGGATCTTTCCCATTTCCTTCACCCCCTCCCTCCACCCACCAAATTGTACAACCCTGTGATTTCCCCCCACCCCTCCTCACCCCTCTGCTCCCTTCCTTTCTCCCCTTTGATCCCTGTACATGTTTTTCTAGTTGTCCTTTAATGTTTTTGAAGCAGGTTCAGTTTCCAGCAAGTTGTGATTTTGATCAGCATTTTCCTGACCTTAATGACCCGTGGTGCTGGCCATCTCCCCTTGCATTCGTGGAAAATGACCATGTTCTGTTCTTTTTGTTCTTTTCAAAATTTTTATTTTGTGTGTGTGTGTGTGTGTGTGTGTGTGTGTACCGTCAAATCAGATCTGACCGGTACAGGAGGAGACTGCCCCTCCTTCTCCAGCAGGGCATCTAGTGGATTCAAACCACTCATCTCTGGGATTGCAGTGCTGCTTCTTGCCACTAGGCCACCCTGTTCTCTTCTTTGGGTGAAAAGATCTTTTAATCTTTTTTAACTCAGTTGTCTTCTTACTAGTGGCTGGTAGGAGTTCTTGATCTATCCTGAATTGTCAGTCTTTTATTAAATGTATGATCCACAGCTAGAGGTTTTACGTGAGTGTGATTTGGTAGAGAAAGGTCCAGGGAGGTAGGGAAGCCTGTTCCTCCGGACCGAGGCTCAGCGTTGCCGATTCACGGGTCAGTGCGCCCCCGGCAGAGCCCCTGGCGCGGGAGGCCTGCTCGGTCCTTCACTGGGGGAGAGAACTTTCCTGGGTGCAGCCCTGCTGCCTGAGAACGCTTTCACCCTCGCTGGCTCCCACAAGGCCAGTTCCTCGTGACCCTCATGTGGAGGTCAGGGGTTAGGAGCCAGGGAGAGAGAAGAGCAGTCTGCTCCTGTTACGATTCACAGCCGCGCAAACCCGATGGGTGGTGTCTCGAGCTGGGATTGACTCAGTGGCAGTGTTTGCTTTGGACATGTCCAGGGCTCCCTGGTGGCTGGAGTGCTCAGTTTTTATGAAAGGTTGGCAGTTCAAACCCACCGGCCAGTCCATGTGGTGTGGCAGTCTGCTGCAGTGAAGATTGCTGCTGTTTGCTCCTGAGTCAGAACTGACCCATAGCTGACCCTCCAGTGGGTTTTCAGAGGCAGTAAATCACACGGGAGGAGATTCCCCCTCTATCTCCCATGGAGCAGCTGGTGGATTCGAACTGCAAGCCTTTGGGATTGTAGCATAGTTTTCTTACCACTAGGCCACCAGAGCCTCAGAAACTCCAGGGGCAGTTCTCTGCCCTGTAGGGTTGCTGTAACTTGGAGTTAACTTGATGATAGGAGTTTGGTTTGGATTAGCACACACCCGCTCATGTTGGTTGTACCTGGGTGTGTCACACCACCACCGTGTGCCTCAGGGCCCTTCCTCCCTTGCTGTCTTGGCTGTTGCCCAGCGTGAGGAGGGAGTCAGGCCAAGGCTGTGCTCGGCTGGTAAGAATGTTTGCCAGCTCACCTTGTCACCGAGGATATATGTTCTCACCAAGCACTGCAAGTTAGCTTCTTTCATAATCAGAACTTTGCAGGTCACGAGTGACAGTATCTTACAGTTAGGTTCAACCAAAACGAAAGAACACAGCATATGTATGTGGGAGGATCTATTGACTGATGGAAGTGAATAGTCAAGTCACCAGCTTCAGGCCCAGCTGGATCCAGGCGCTCCTTATCCAGGGGCCTGGCTCTACTTTCTGGTGTTGGCGTTGTTTCCTGGCAGGTCCTCCATGCGGCAGCGAGCCTGGCCCTGCAGCTCCTGGCTTCCCGCTTGTGCCCAGGTAACCCCGGGACAAGGAAAGCACGTTTTCTAAAGGTTCCAGCCTGACCCCAGACCCTAAAGATCATTGTCCCTGAATCAGTCACTGGGCTCTATTGGCCAGGCCCACATGTGTGTCCACTTCAGGTGTGGCATGAGGGTCAGCCCCACATATAGCAGGCAGATCAAGAATGGAGGAAAGAGTTCTTCAGATAGGAGCCAGGGTCCAGGACCAAGGACAGGGGTGCAGGTGTGTCTAGGCCAGCCAAAGGCACAGTATCCCCTACTGCGTGAGCAGTGAGCACTCGGGGGACATTGTTTCCTGGTGTCCCTAAGGTGGTAGGGAGGTGATGCTGTGTCCAGAGTCCTCTGTCCTGCCCTGAACACCCTTCTGGGAGACAGTGCTAACTGAGGACAGGGCCTGGACCATGGGGAGCGCTCCATAAACACGAGGCCTGGAGGCACTTCCACTGTCCACCCAGGAGACCTGAAGGCAGGGCCTCAGACACTGTACACTATATTCACTGCAGCACCATTCATGGCGCCAAAGCGTGGACTCAACCCATGTGTCCACCGCCAGCAGGTGGACGAATAAACAGAATGTGCCCGTGGGCCGTGGAATACCACCCAGCCAGTAAGAGGCCCGAAGCGCTAATACAAAGCATGACAGTAAGCGAAATCCAACATAGAAGGACGAATGTTGTGTGATTCCACGCATCACAGGAGAGTATCCATCGTCATCGTTGGGTCCTGTCCAGTCGGTTTCCACTCGTACGGACTTTACATACAGTTACATACCGTGGGGAACCCTGCCGGTCCAGTGCCCTCCGCACAATCTCTGTGTGATCTAAACTCATTACTGCACATAAGTCTGTGGTCAGCCCTTCTCATTGAAGGTCTTCCTCTTCTTAACTGACCATCGGTTCTTCCAAGCATGATGGCCCTTCGCAGGACTGGTCCCCACTGATAATATACCCAGTTAGTCACGGATATTTGCATCTATTTCTCTTCCCTTTTTTGAGTTGTGTTGCGTCAGCAGATGAAGTGTCACTGGCTGTAAGCTTTGTCCTGTGCACGACGTCACGCGGTTCGCTCTGCCTTGAGGATCCAGCTCTTTCCTGTCGTGTTTTGTCTTCCACCCTGCGGGCCCTCATCTTCCAGCCCCGTATCAGCCAGTGTCCCGCTGCGAGTCACCCGATTTCAAGGGCCTGTCATTTCACGAGGGGCTTCACGTGGCCAAGTGGGTGGGGAGTTAGTTGCATAGCCAGCACAAAAGCATGCACTTTGAGTCCACCAGCAACTCTCTGGAAGGAAGATGGGCACTCTCACGCTGCCCTGATGCCCACCGGAGGCTCAGCTGTGAATTGGTTCCGACTTGATGGCACATAACACCAGCCGCACTGCCAGTCCTCTTAGCCTTTCTCAGTCTGGACACTCCCCTGAGACCTGCCTGCTGTGACCTGGCTGGGGTCTGAAATACCAGCAGCCTAGCTCCTAGATCACATGGCACTGTGATGCCAAACTGATGGACGAATGGAGAGTGAGCTACGAGAACAGGCCACTGCAGAGAGTCCGAGGTGGGGGCCAAGGAAGACGCATTACCGCCCAGTGGGTGCACTTGCTGTGTGAGGTGACGGAACGGAGCATTTCAGAAACGGTGACGGTCATCTCTCATGGTGAGCGCAGTTAAAGCCACTGAGCTCTTCTAAACTTGGTAACGCTCAAAATCAAACTTCTCATGCAAATACATTTTACCATAATGTTGTTGTTGTTGTTGTTATGTGCCGTCAAGTTGCCTGCGACTCACAGCGACCCTATTTACAACAGCCCTAAACCCTGCTCTATCCTGTGCCAGTCTCAACCATCTCTGACACACCCACCCCCATTACCCCAGTCAGTGACTCAATCCACCTCATCGAGGGTCTTCCCCTCCTGCACTGTCCCTCCACCCTCCCAAGCATGATGTCCCTCTCCAAGGACTGGTCCCTCCTTGCAACATGTCCAAAGTATGTCCGACGAAGCTTCAGAATCCTCGCCTCTAAGGAGCAGCCCTGTTTCACCCTCTCCAGGACGAATCTGTTTGTTCTCCTGGAAGTCCATGGTATATTCAGTACTCTTCTCCAGCACCACAGCTCAAAGGCATCAACACTTCTTTTTTTTTACATTTTTATTATTTTTGTGTGTGTGCGCCGTCAAATCATACCTGACTGGTACAGGAGATTGCCCCTCCTTCTCTGGCAGAGCATCTGGTGGATTCGAACATCAACTCTTCTTCTATGCTCTCTAGTCACTGTCTAGCTCTCCAATGCATAGCAAGTGATTGCAAAGACCATGGCCTGTATCAGGCGCACCTTAGTCTCCAGACTGACAATTTTAAGAAGTGTATGAAGAGAGTGGGGACAGCTATTCTGCTCTGTGTCCGCTGCCACCAGCCCCCTTTTGCTGTCACCTGCTCCTCTGAACTGATCCACTCTCACGAGTCCCCTTTGGAAGGTGTTTGCTGTCCAGAAGCCGTGTGCACCCGGTCCCTCTCTGCTTCGTCGCATAGCTGAGAGGCTGGTCACCGTGGGTTGTGCTGGTGCAGGATATGGCAGGGCCCATGTGGGGTGGAGGACTGACCATCCTCAGGGTGACGCTCCTGGGGTGGAGTGGCCCCTAGGGTGGGGTGTCCAGAGCTGGCAGGGAGTCTCCATGGGAAGGGGACACTAGCAGCTGGTCCACCTTTGAGGTTTGCTTTGCCCCGGCCCACATCAGGTGGGATGTCACTTGTTGGCTGTGCGGAGGGTCTGGGGGCCCTTGTTAAGGGAGGACCCACAGGGCGGGTCTGTGTGTGTTGGGATCTGTCCTAGCTTTGCTTGGTGGGAAGGCCTTGCTTGGCTTATTGGTGACAGTACTGAGCGTGGCTGGGGTGTCACTGTAGACCCCAGAATTCCTCTAGGCTCTCTCTCCCTCCATGTTGGGGCCCAGTGCACCTGGATACCTATCTCAGAAATGCCGTCACCACCACCTGGGGACCTTGAGCCACGTGTGCACCACAGCTGAGGTGATCGCGGTCCCCGCCTCACTGTGCTGGGGTGCTGGAATCCCGCAAAGCCTCTGTGTCACCATCAGGGCGCCCCTGGGGGCTGCGACGGGTGACGCTGTGACCTGGTCTCTCCTGTTCTCTCCCCAGGTGAGGATGGCAGAGAGGACGTAACCCAAGCCGGCTCGTCCACCCAGCAAGTGGTGCCATCATGCAGAAGCCCAGCGGCCTGAAGCCCCCCGGCCGCGGGGGGAAGCACTCGAGCCCTGTGGGCCGGACGTCCACTGGGTCAACCTCAGCCTCTGCTGCCGCCGCCACCACCAACTCAAAGGAAGGTGTGTGGGGCTGAGGGTGGTGGGGTGAGGGGGGCCGGGAACACAGACCAGACCCTGGTTCACTGAGTTCTTTATGTCTGACTGCAGCCACTTTAAAAACGAACCGGGGACAGGGAGGAAAATGTTCAACAATGAATGAATGGGGGGGAAATTAAATGGGAAGGATATGCTATAAAAGAAATTTTATATATATTAAAAAAATATCCCAAACAAACAAAAAACCTGACAGACATTGTATGGGTACCAGTGTCAGCCACACCTGGAGATGAGGAGGGAGAGGTCCAGAGATTCAGCTGCTACAACAGCCAGGTGCACACTCTCTCTTCTAGCTGCCTCCCTGCCCTCTATTCCGGCCCCTCGTGGGGTTCATGAGGTGACAGTCCCATGTTCCACTGTCCCTCCTGTCTCCTACACAACTCCCTGCCCTTTACCCTCGCCTTATCTAAGTGCTGTCTTCCTTCTTGGGGGCAGAGGGTGCCCTCAGGGCAGGGCCAGGAGGCACCAGCCCAGAGGGCAAGTTGAGTAGAGAAACACTACTTCCTTCAGTTGATTCTGACTCATGTTCAGTCTTGGTTGGGTTCCCATGCTCTAAATTCTAATAGAGACAACTGAATTTGTTTTTCCCCCAAAACTTGGGGCTAGTGGGTTTGAACCACTAAGCTTTTGGTTAATAGCTCAACACTTAACCTACCACACTCACAGGCCTCCTTATACTTGCACATTCACCTCCCTCCACTAGTCCCCATGTGTCACAACCCCCCCCCCCCCCCCGGTCTGGCTTCCATTACAGGAGGAGACTACCCACTTTTCCTCCCTCAGAGCAGCTGGGGGATTCGAACTGCTGACCTCTTAGTTAGAAACTCAACATGGTATGGTCCTTGCCACCAGAGCAACTTGAAAGAACCGCTATATTTGCCTCTTTCTGAGGCTAAAAGTAATATTTGATTTTCTTTTTCTGAGGCTCAAAGTAAAGTATGCTTATTGTGAATTATTTGGAAAGTTTGAACCAGGAGGAAAAAAATCCCCCATAATTTTCCGCTTCCCTTCCAAGGCAGCTGTGGTTCTTGTTTTGCCATCTTTCCCTCCACAGTTTTTATCGTATCTATTTGCAGCCCTAGTACATTTACTCTTACTTTTACTTTAGTTGCTTCCCTCACCCTTTTTCATACAATCTAGTGGCGTTTGTCCCTGTTCATAAAAGCTTTACGCATTTTACAGCATTTGAGTGATTGGCATATATTTCATTCTACCCAAGACATGTTTGTGGCTTTTTTAAAAATAAATTTTTATTTTATATTGGTTTGCTTACAGAGTTGGTATACATTGTTTTTCACATTAGTTCTCTCCTGCTTCCTTTACCGACCCCTGCCCAGTTCAGCTTAATCAGGCTGCTGGTGGGTGTTGCCTTCGGGTGGGAGGCACAGGTGACACCTGTGTCAGGAGCCCGGTGGGTCTGGGGGGGGCAGTGAAGGGCTGCATCACGAGGTAGAGGGGTACCGTCTTAAGAGGACAGAGCGTGGAGAGCGGTGTTGTCTGAGTCGGTTCTGACTCGCGTTGGGGGCACACACCCCCCCACCCCCGTGTACTCTGAGTCGAGCGGCTCCACAGTTCATTCAGGGAGATTGTGACCTTTTGGAAGCAGCTTACCAGACACTTGGGTGGGCTTGAACCACCAACCTTTTGCCTGGCAGTCCATCGTTTAGTTGTTGGCACCACTTGGGGACTCTTGTGTTGCGTACGTTGTTGTTGTTAAGTGTGCTCAGGCCCTTAGCGACCCCGCGTACAGGAGACTTTTGATCCTTGCCTGATCCAGCGTCACCTTCATAATCGTCACCGACTTAAACTGGTTGTTGCAGGCCCCGTGTTGAGCCATTGTGTTGAGGGTTTCCTCTCTCTGACCCTCTATTTTCTAAGCTTGAAGTCCTTCTCAGGGATCCATGGAAGGAGAAAAGAGAAGATGAGGAAGCGTGTTGAGGTCGAGAGGACAGGGAAGTGGGGTCCTGGCATCGGGCGTCTCCCCTTCATTTCAGTAAAACCAAACCAAACCATCGAATCCATTCTGACTCCCGTCGCCTTCTGTAGACTTCTGAGAAAGTGCAGCCGGAAGGCCGACGAGGCTTCGTCTTACATTCTTGGGACGTGTTGCTAGGAGAGACTGGTCCATGGAGAGGGGAGGGTCCACGCTTGGGGAGGTGGAGGGTCAGCGAAAGAGAGGAAGACCCCGGCCACGGTGATGGCAGCAGTGGACTCACGGGTGTCAGAGGTGATGAAGATGCCACAGGACAGAACAAGGTTATAGGGTCACTTGAGTCAGACTCCACTTGATGGCCCCTAAGAGCAGCCACCACAATGTGTTTTTATGGGAGGAGACCGCCCGTCTTCCTCCAGAAAGCAGCTGGTGGATTTGAACTACTGACCCTTCACTTAAAAGTTCACTACAGGGCAACAACAAAAAGAATTTTGTTTCAAAGAGAAAAGCGAACTGCTGGGCTGGGTAGAGAGGAAAATGCGACAGTGAATGAGTGGAAATCCAAGTTTTCTATAAATTTTCATTAAAATCTCAAAATTAAAAAAATTAAAAAAAAAAAAAAAGCTCATTATGCACTGTAACCCAGCCTCTTTTTCCTCTTCATAGAAGTAGGAAAGCCTCTGGAGGGCTTTCATTCCAGGGGATGTGATAAAAGGGCCTGAAAATCCTCTTTGCTCATTCTTTGCAGTTGAAAATTAGGACTGTTTCCTGTTTTTCTACATGATCCTATTTTTGAGCACAGATCCTTGCTTCAGTTAGAGTCCAGTCCCCAGGGTCAGGCACTGCCCATCTTGTCTGGCCGGCTAAGAGGTTTGAAGAGACAGAACCATCCAGAAGGCAGTCTGGCCAAGCTGGGACTTGGCTGGGGTCAATGGAGACTTGGGCCAGTGTCACAGGCAGTGGGCAGAACTGGATGCCTGATAACCAAACAGCTAGTGTAAATGGTCAGGCAGCACCAGGCAGGCCCCACCCACAGCTGCCTCGTCTGAAAGTCCAGTGGGCTTCCTGAGCAAGAGAGAACTAAGGGGCAAGGTCTTCCAGGTGGAGGAGAGTGACGCAAAGGTCCTGGGGCAGGTTTGTTAAGGACAGGGTGTGCCGTGAGGGTGAGGAGAGTGGCAGAGGCCTGATAGTGAAGGACAAGGGCTTGGGAGTGTTCTGAGCATGCTGGACGTTGGAGATGACAGCAGAGCAGTGACCCAGCCTCGGTTCCATCCCGTGGACCACTGTGTGTTCAGGTTACCAGGAGAGGCCCGTGAGGAAGCATGCAGCCACCTGGCTGTGGACGGTCAGGAGAGAGTGGGAGGTCAGGGGAAAGTTCTCAGAGGAAGCCGTTGACTCGGCCTTGACGTTGTTTGGGGAATATTAAGTTCGAGGTAAGTAGGACCAGTAGAGCCTCTTGGGGAGAGGGAGCAGGTCACATCTTGGGCTCAGTCTGGTGGGGGCTGAGGGGTACGTGTAATTTACTAAGAAGAGGGAGAGAGCCCCTCCAGAGAACCTTCTGGGTTCTTTCTTGACCCCTGCCCCCTGCTCCAGCTCTCATGGTCTCTGCTGTGAGACCTGAGGGCGTTACTTAGCTCCTCTGAGCTGCCGTCTCCTCCTGCACAGATGAGATGCGCACCCTTCCTTCCTTTATGGGATCCGGGGAGTTGAACAAGGAGTGCCTGCAGGTACAGAACGCATTAAAGATTCATTTCTCTTCCTGTCTCCCATCTGTAATCTCCTCACAGGAGCCTGAGGAGAGCCCATTGTGCCCCCGCTTGGCCCCTCTTGGCTGCCACTGGGCTCCGGTTCCTGCCAGTCTTTATTTCATGCCCACACGTCGCTGTCCTAAAGGGTTTGTTTGCACCCTCCCCGTCTCTTCTCACATCCTGGTTTCTCTGGTTTTGTTGCTGGTCACGGGAGCCTCTCCCTTGCCTCTGTGGGGTCCTCATCTGTCTGGCGAGGTTGGGGACCCCCGGGCCACACTCCCTTTGTCTCGTGAGAGCCTCTGCATGTGGGGGCTGGGTGTCTGGCTCGGTCCTGAGAGAGGAGGACCACTGAAGGCTTGATTGATGGGGTATTGGCGGCAGAGCCTGCAGCTGGTACCCTTCCCCCCCGGGCACCGAGGCTGCCTCTGCGCAGGGGAGCCGCCAGCCGGGGCAGGGACGGGCCGGAAGCAGTTGGCAGTGAAACCCTGCCAGGCGCAGGAGGAACAGTTCCACCAGAGCTGCATTTGTTCCGCCCCAGGGTCTCTGTCCTTGGACTCCCCGTCCCCAGGGGGCTGCCCCACAGGGAGCCCACCCCCACGTATGCTCATTGCCGAAGGCCGGGCCTGGTTGTGATGGTGACTGGGGAGGGCCCACCGCTGGCCTTCCCCTGGGCGTCAGGCCATGGCTGTCTCCCAAAACATGAGCTCAGCCTCCGGAGAGGGTCCAGCCAAGGGTGATTTCCGCCCATCCCGGGGGACGTGTGGGGTCCGGTGTGGGCCCAGGATCTCACACAAAGGCGGCAGGAGGACCAAGGCAGACACTCAAGGGGCCTCGTGTGGGGAGAAGTGGCCAGAGCAGTGAGCAGGAGAGTGGCTTGGAGCCACCTATGGGCAGAGGACTGGGTAGAGGGTCAGGGAGCAGCCCCTGTGGTCAGCAGGGGACTCTGAGTGACACACTCAAAGCTTAGGGGAGCAGTGAGCAGGCCGGGCGTTCTGAGGACTGGAAATCAGATGAACACACATGACCCACGCGGACCCAGGGAAACGAGAAGACTGCTTGGAGGTCGTCCTGGGTCTGCTGTAAGAAGGGGTCCGCTCCAGGCTGCTGCTGCGGTGTGGCCAGGGCTAGAGCTGGGACCCCTGGAGTATGAGCAGCCCGCAGTGGTCAGGGTGGGGCTGGGACCCCCAGGAGAAGATACATACGCAGTGGTCAGGATGGGACTGAAACCCGCAAGAGAGGAACAGCTGGCAGTGGTCAGGACTGAGGCTGGGGCCCCCGGGAAA